AAAATTCTGAAATGTGGACAGGACATTTCTTCTCTGCTTTGAGAAGGATTTGGTCAGACTGAAGAGGAGCCAGGTAATGAGAGCAGACAGGAGACCCTCAGCCCGTGAGGGAGGATCCCGGGAGGATCCAGGGGAGAGCCGTTGCTGGCGTCCATGAGAGAGACCACATGAGAAACCAAGTCCACAGAACCCCAGGCAGGCTGGCACTCCGAGCTCTAAATCCAGAGTTCAGGACGGTGGAGTCGGGCCTGAGGGAGAGAAGGGGGAAGGAGGAGGGAGGACAGGACAATGAATAGGAATAGGCTTGGGAAATCCCAGCACCATCGTCACCAGCTGGAGGGGGCCCTGTGATCTGAGTGGGCGGGCCTGTTGGCTGAATGCACCAGGGCTGTGCTGGTCAACCTTCCTGCCCTCAGAATCCCCTTCCCTCTCTCAGGAAGAGCTTGGCTGACTCTCTGCATCATTCTGGGCCAGCTGCCTCTCTTGAACACTCCAGTGGTCCTTTGCACCTTCACCAGCGTCCCAGATGTGGGAGCTGTCTTCATGCCTGCTCGGGGCTGGTGTTTTATCCCCTGGGGACCCTCCACAGAGTCTGGGCTATGTGAGTGGGTTGCTGACTGATGACCAAATGCCAAGACAGGTCAGGAATGCAGTTGAAAGGGGCAGTGGGACTGCATGGAGGAGAAATGGGAGGAAGAGTGCCCAGGGACTAGTCAGCTCAGACTCTGCAGATGAAGGATTGGCTGTGGACGTGCCTTGAAAATGATCCAGGTGGTGACTGTGTCTCAGATAGCCATCTGTGGCTTCTGAACTCTTGACACACGAGGGGACAGGTGTCCTAGGGCAGTGATCACTGGCCTATGTTGCCAGCAGACATTGTCAGGGGAGAGGGCTGGACCAAGGTCTGAACGTGAGCAAGTTGTATGGCAAGGCAGTGGAGGTGGCAGCTTTCCTTGTTAAGCTGATGGGGACATGCGGGGTCCAATACAGGAAGCATCCTGTTGGCAGCATCCTCACTTCCATGACAGTGTTTGGTCCAGGGGAGAAGACGTCTGCAGTGACCCTCTCCGTGGTAGTTTCCACGGGATTTGTGAACTCAAATGAGCACAGGTGAAGGAACTGTGGGTTTTGTCATGTAGGCAGGAGGCCCAGGACGGGCAGACTCCATAATTTGAATCAAAGTATTCCCATGCCTGATAACTTCATTCATCCCATGCACTTACGCATTCCTACAGAAAACTTTCATTGAATATATGCTGAGGAAACACCAAGTCAACAAAACACAAGAAAGCAGCAGTGCCCTTAACTCAGTCTCTGGGGGGCGTGAGGGAGATGGTGAGGTGGAAAGACATGTAAGAGTTTTAGGAAGTGAGGGACTGTGAACTGATGGAGACAGTCTCTGTTGACCTGACTTCTGAGGTTAGTGATGTTGTTCCGTTAGTTGAGAGGGAGGGAGAAGGGTGAGTTGGTGGTGATTTGATGAAGAAGAGTGTGGAGGATGAGCTCCATGCACAGCATTTTAAAGCTCAGTCAAGGATTTTTTGGACATGGATGTTTTATGAAAATTATAAATAGTGTTTCTAACACCCACAAGTAGTGATGTACATATTGACATGTCACATGCCTTTCCCACGTAATAAGATGAATGCAACGTCTTCCCCCAACTGTACCTACCACTGACATCACTTTTGTAAATATCCCCTAGAATTCTAAAGTGGGTGGGTGCCATAGTTAACTAAACTTTTCTTTTCCTGATAAACACATATACATTCTTTCCCGTTTGTTGCTATGATTAATAGAACTGAAATAAGCATACGTTTTTGGACACATATGCATACTTTCCAATAAGAAAGATATATTAACGTGGGCATTGGGTTAATGTAGAAATGGTGTGAATAGTTTAACTCTTTAGAAATACTGTCAAAATGTATTCCAAAAATACTGTACCAATGAATTTTCTCACAAATGAATAGACGTGAATATCCTACACTCACAGAAAGATTTTGTGTTATCAATCTTCTAATTGTTGGTGAAAATTATGAATAAAATTTGGTGAAGAAATATTGCCTCGCTGTTATTTTAAATTGTGTCTTTCCTTTCTCTAATTCGGTTAAGTACACACTAACTTAATCCCTTAGCCATATGAAGCTGGATTTATACAGTGACGTGCTGAGTAACATTTCTCTAGGCATGATTTAAAATTCTGAAATGGAGACACGACATTTCTCAAATCCTTTGAGAAGGATTTGATCAGAATGAACAGGAGCCAGGGAAAGAGAGCAGACAGGACACCCTCGGCCCATGAGGGTAATAGGGAGGATCCAGCGGTGTTATGGTTTGGTTGTGTCCCCACCCAAATCTCATCTTGAATTGTAGCTCCCATAATCTCCAGGTGTCATGGGAGGGACAAGGTGGGAGGTAAATGAATCACAGGGGTAAGTTTCCCCCATGCTGTTCCCGCCATAGTGAATAAGTCTTAGGAAATCTGATGTTTTCACAAAGGGCAATTCCCCTGCACATGCTCTCTTGCCTGCTGCCATGTGAGACATATCTTTGCTCCTTTGCCTTCTGCCATGATTGTGAGGCCTCCCCAGCCATGTAGAACTGTCAGTCCATTAAAGTTCTTTTTTTTTTATTATAAATTACCCAGTCTCAGGTATTTCTTTACAGCAGTATGAAAATGAACGAATACAAGGGGAGAGCAAAGGCCAGAGTCCATGAGAGAGACCATATATGAAACGAAGTCCACAGAGTCCCAGGCAGGCTGTCATTCAGAGCTCTGAATCCAGAGTTCAGTCCGGTGGGGGCAGGAACCTGAGGGACAGAAGGGGTAAGGGAAGATGGAGGGCAGGACAATGAACAGGAATAGGCTTCGAAAATTCTAGTATCATAATCACCAGCTGGAGGGGTCCGTGTGATCTGAATGGACAGGCCTGTTGACTGAATGCACCAGCGGTGTGCTGAACACCCAACCCTCCCTCAGAATCCCCTCCCCTCTCTCACGAAGAGTATGGCTGGCTCCCTGCATCATTCTGGGTGAGTTCCCTCTCGACCACTCCAGTGGTTGTGTGCACTTTTGCCAGTGTCCCAGGGCAGGGAGTTGTCTTCATGCCTGCTGCGGGCTGCTGTTTTATCCCCTGTGGACCCTCCATAGAGCCTGGACTGAGCAACAGCCAAGACAGGCCAGGAATATTTATGAGGAGTGTAAGGTGGCAGCATGGCTGCATGGAGAGGAAGTTGGAGGAAGAGTGCCCTGGGACTAGTCAGCTCCAACTCTGCAGATGAAGGACTGACTGTGGACATGCAATGAAAAAGATGCAGGTGGTGACTATGTCTCCGATGGACTCGTGAGACTTCTGATCTCTTGGCACACGAGGAAACAGGTGTCCTGGGGCTCTGATCACTGGTCTATGTTGCCACCAGACAGTGTCTACTGTAGTGGGCTGGCCCATGCTGTGTACGTAAGCGGGTTGGATGGCAAGGCAGTGGAGTTGGCACCCTTCCTTGTGGAACTGATGGGGATGTGGGGGGTCCAATAGAGGAAGCATCATGCACCATCCTGTTGGGAGCATCCTCACCTCCATGACAGTGTTTGGGCCTAGGGAGAAGGCATCTGCAGTGACCCGCTCTGTGGTAGTTGCCACGGAATTTCTGAACCCAAAGGAGCACAGGTGAAGGAACTGTGGGTTTCTTCATGCAGGCAGGAGGCCCGGGATAGGCAGACTCCATAATTTGAATAAAAGAATTCCCATGCCTGGTAATTTCATTCATTCCATGCACTTATTAATTCCTACAGAAACTTTTATTGAATATATGCTGAGGAAACACCAAGTCAACAAAACAAAAGAAAGTGGCAAGTCCCTTAATTCAGTCTGTAGGAGTGTGGGGGAGATGCAGAGGTGGTGTGAATCGCCCACCTGAGCCAGGGAGGCCAGGAAGGCAGAGCCAGACTTGGGGACTGGCAGTGTGCAAGAAAGGGAGCGATAGCCTGTGTCCCGGCCAGAAAGCTCTCCTTCTGACACTGTCGATCTGGTTTTCCTCCTGGATGCTGCCTGTGTGTGAAGCAACTGCTGCTCTCTGTGCCTACCTGCCTTTGTTAATAGGGAAAATGCTCATGGTTGGTGGATGCTCACTTCTGCTCACCTTGGATCACTTCTACTGAAGGGGTGGCTTGACAGCAAGAAGACAGGAAGAAACTTTTGGGGATGATGAATATATTTTGCACCTTCACTGTGGTTGTGGTTTCATGGGACTAAATATTTGTCAAAACTGTTTGATTTGTTTCTCAGTATTTAGGAGAAAAAGGAAGCAGAAAACCAGGAAGTATACAGATGACCTGAAAAGCACCATTAACTACTCTGACCAAATAAAAGAGTAAGAAAAGCACTGCATTCAAGATTGGCAGAATAAACAATCCTCTCAAGTGTGCATGAAATATTTCCCAAGATAGATGGTACTCTGGGCCATCAAACAAAGCTTACAAATTGAAAAGAATAGAAATAATAGAAAGCCTCTTCTTAGACCATAATATAATTAAACTCAAAACCAAACACCAAGATATCTGAAAAATGCCCAAACATTGGAAATTTTAAAATATGCTCCCAAATAACCTATGGGTCAAAAAGGGAGTCTCAGGAGAATTCTACAAATGCATTAAGTTGAATGAAAATAAAAATATACATACAAAAAGTGGGATTCAGCTAGAGTGTTTCTTTGAGGGAAATATATAGCATATTTTAAATGTTTATATTAGAAAATAAAATCTAAAATCAATAACCAAAACTATCACCCTAGGAAACTAAAGAAAGAAGAGCAAGTTGAATTGAAAGAAATTGTAGAGGATCCCCCCTCCCTTCCTTCCCACATTCCCACCTCTTCCCCCTTACTCCCTACCCCCACCATTTGAGACACACAGACACACACATCATTTTACAACATGTTCATTTTATTTCCATCACCATGGGCATACCCTGTGGGGTGTAAAATGTACTCTACACCCTGTTGGCTACTTATTTGGGGTTAGACCTCTGGAGACTTTACAGATAGACTTGAGGTCTCTGGCCTTGCCCAGGAATTACTGGTTGCCCAAGGAGTTGCTGGAGACGGTGGAAGTCTCCATGTCCTTGTGGTCCTGCTGTGGCTCATTTTGATTGAGTTCCTCATTTGGCTGGTCAGAGTGGCTGGATAGTGTTGGCCCACTCCATTCCTCAGGGTTTTTTGAAATGGTGGTCTTTCAGGGAGAGACTTTTGTTCCTGGAACTTCCTTGGCGGGTCCCTTTTCCCTTCCGCGTTGTCTTGGGAACCTGGAAGGACAACAGGGAGATCAAAGAAGGGCACTGGTTTGGGGAAGAGGATGGAGGAGGGGGGAGAACAGAGGCTTCATAGAGAAATGATACAGACTGGGGTGGGCGTTTTGCCAGGGGAGCACAGGAGTCAGAGCTTGGGTGGGCCGTTCACTTTGATAGGGCTTCTGGGCCGGGGTTGAGAGGATGCTTTCCCCTTCCTCGCCTCTTTGGTGTTGGCGGGTGGTTTTTGGACAATGGGCTGGAGGCTCGTGGTTTCCTGGACATCTTCACCACACCAGCATCTCTCAACAATCTACTCCAGTCCACCTGGTCTCCCCATGCCTCCTCCAGGACAGCGAAGGCAGGCCAGCAGGCTAGAAACTCACACAGCATTTTTATGTTAGTCTTGTGGTAGAATTCCTTTTCCCGGAAAGCTTGATATTTTCTCTTAACACCTTCAACTAATTGGATGAGGCCCATCCACATTATGGAAGTTATACTGCTTTACTTAAAGTCAACTGATTGTAAATGTTGATCACATCTACAAAATACCTTCACAGCAACATGTAGACTGCTGATTGACCACACAGCTGAGCACTATAGCCTAGACAGGTTGACACATAATTCTAGCCATTGCATATATCTTGCACCATACAAAAATATAACTCAAAGTGAACCACAGACTTTAAATGCCAAGATTACATTTTTTTTTTCTAGGACAAAACAAAAAAAAATATTGTGTTACCTGAGGTTATGTCTTAGCTCAGGCTGCCATAACATAATGCCATAGACTGAGTAGCTGAAACAATAGAAATTTTTTTTTTTCACACTTTTGAAGTTTGGAAGTCCCAGATCATAGACTGGCAGGGTTGGCTTCTGGTGATGGCATTATTCCTGGCTTGTAGATGGCCCTTTATCAGTATGTCCGTTCTTGGCCTTTCCTCTGTGCATGTGCAGAGAGAGAGAGAGAGAGAGAGAGAGAGAGAGAGAGAGAGAGAGAAGTCATGCAGGCACAAAAGTACTTTCTTCTGTCTCTTCTCCCTTCTTATAACCACACCAACTCTATGGGATCAAGGCCCCACCCTTATGACCTTTTTTAATATCAGTTTCTTCCTTAGAAGTGTCATCTCCAAATACAGACACCCTGGGGCTGAAGGCTTCAAAACATGAATTTGGTGGAGGACATAGCATTAGCAAAGAATAGACACGTAGATTAATAAAACAGAATAAAGCTTAGAAACAGACCTGCACACATACAGTCAGGTGATTCACAACAAAGGCAATAATGGTGAACGTACAGGTTTTCCAATAAAAGATGCCTGAACAATTAGACATCTATACACAAATTATAATAACCTGGACATATCCTTACATATTCCACGAAAATTTGCTCAAGATACATCATAGACCTAATGAAAAATCCAAAAACTATACAACCTCTATAAGAAAACATAAGAGAATATCCACATAACTTTGAGTTTGGTGATGAGTTTTTAAATTCAACACCAAAAGCATGATCAGTGAAAGAAAAATTTGCCAAGTTGATTTTATTAAAATAAAAATCTTATGGTCTTCAAAAGACAGTGTTAAGAGAATGAAAACAGAAGCCACAGACTAGCAGAAAACATCTGTGGTACACATATGTGGTAAAGAACTTGTCTCTACAATATACACGAATTCTTAAAGCTCAACGATAGAAAACAATGAAAACAGTCAAAGATCTGAACACACGCTACACCAAAGAAGATACACACATGGCAAATAAGCATACTAAAAGTACCGAGAGTCCTTTGTCATCAGATAATTGTGTACTAAAATGAGATACCACTACACACCTATTAGAATGTCCAAACGGACTGGGCGCGGTGGCTCATGCCTGTAATCCCAGCACTTTGGGAGGCCAAGGCGGGTGGATCACCTGAGGTTGGGAGTTTGAGACAAGCCTGACCAACATGGAGAAACCCCATCTCTACTAAAAATACAAAAAAATTAGCTGGGCGTGGTGGCACATGCCTATAATCCAAGCTACTAGGGGTGCTGAGGCAGGAGAATTGCTTGAACCTGGGAGGCGGAGGTTGCGGTGAGCCGAGATTGTGCCATTGCACTCCAACCTGGGCAAAAAGAGTGAAACTCTGTCTCCAAAAAAAAAAAAAAAAAAAAAAAAAGAATATCCAAAATCCATAAAAAGCAAAACAAAGAAAACAAACCAAGACCAATTGCCAGTGAAGATGTGGAGCAACAGAAACTCCGGGCCTGGTGTAAATTAGTATTTTATCAAATGGCGATGGCTGTTATTTCTAATAATTTTAAACCCCAGGCCCTAACACTCTGGGATTTTGTTGTTGTTGTCATTGTTCTCCAGGAGTCATCAGAGAATATACATCTCAATAGGACGTAGAATACTTAGCCCAAAAAGGAAGCTTCACCCATAAAATTCAGTTAAGTATTTCTTATTAGAGAATGTACTTCAAAATTTCGGTGTGCAGGAATTTTGCCCAGCCAGGTGCAGCTCAAAGCTCCTAGAATCTGTGTCAAAGACCAACTCCTTCCCTCTCTCCCAGTTGCTTTCCCACCCAAACCACTATTTATATCCATTTTGTTACCATCTAAAATCTGGCTCATGCTTACAATTGGTCAAATTGCACTTGAGATAACCTAGTTAGAATGCCTTTTTAATGGAGTCAGCTCTGGCTCTCCCTGCTCGGCAGAAAAGCACCTGGCCAGTGGCTTCTGGGTCACCCTGCTCGGAAATTCAGCCTTATTGCTCAGGAAACCGTTGCAGATGATGGATGCCCTTCACCTAGATCTTGGGTTGTGTTCAATAGCAGTGGGACAAAAGCACAGGACACCTTCCATTCCTGCCCCAGGTGGAGACTCCTCTCTCTTCATCCCCGATCCGAAATAAACCACTCAGAGTTGCTTTCCATTCCAGGCTTTTCTCTCACTCTCTGAGAATCTGGCCCTGGACCCACCCAGCTTCATTAGAGTCAGCTCCTTCAGAAGGAACTGCAGTTTATCAAAGCCAAAGATGCCCCAGCTCAGGGCATTTACACTCCACCACTCTCACCTGGAGCCCCACACCCTCACCCCTCTCTTACATTTCCCCTACATCTTACAGGACTTCTTGCCACCTTAATTATATGACTGCAGCTGCTAGACTCTATGACCCTATGTGTAGGCATGAGTCTGGCTTACCTTAGCATCCCCACTACTAACCTGGGGCCTTCCACTGAGCAGATGCTGAGTGAATGAGAGAGAAATGAGCCAGTGAACAGGAAGAATTATTTATTCCAATTTAATTTTTCTTACATTCTCAAAGAAACCAAGGAAATCCAGGTATCCATGGTTTTTTTTTTCAATTTTGCAGAATAGAGTGAGGTATAAGGCAAGAATTAACTATCTTTTAATGTCTTGAGTTCTCTGTATAATGTATGTTATTGCTAATTCTTTCACAATTCTAAGTAAATACTTATTTCACCGCTGTTATTATGTCACAATTCACAAAATGGAATGGATTTCCTAATCTGAATAAAAAACAAGACTCTTACTCCTAAACTATATAAACAGCACTATGTGTGACTACTGTCATTCTTTTTTTTTTTTTTTTTTTTTTTTTTGAGATGGAATCTCGCTCTGTTGCCCAGGCTGGAGTGCAGTGTCCGGATCTCAGCTCACTGCAAGCTCTGCCTCCCGGGTTTACACCATTCTCCTGCCTCAGCCTCCCTAGTAGCTGGGACTACAGGTGCCTGCCACCTCGCCCGGCTAGTTTTTTGTATTTTTTTAGTAGAGACAGGGTTTCACCGTGTTAGCCAGGAAGGTCTCGATCTCCTGACCTCATGATCTGCCCGTCTCGGCCTCCCAAAGTGCTGGGATTACAGGCTTGAGCCACCACGCCTGGCCACTACTGTCATTCTTAAACTTGGATGCTGAAGTTCATTCAACCATCCGTTAAAAGGAACATTTGAACAATTCCAACAGGAAACAAAGATAAATCTCCGAGTCATCCAATAGAACAGAAACCCACTACTGAAAATGCTGACTGCTCTCTTCAAAGAGTGAAGAATGGGCCTCATGTCACACGAGGCAGTGGAAGCTAATGAATGGGGCCCTGGAAGGTGCACTGGCCCATACCCCCTCCCACTGGCCCTGGCTGCAACGCCTGTTCAGACTCACTCTTCCCCCTCTCTCCAAGCCCATTCATGCAGGGGTGGGTAGGAAATTCGAGGCTCTCCAGTGATCTTTAGCATATGGTACAGGACTTTCACATAGTTGGTTTCAACGAGGGCCCTTGGACCCCACAGGAACTCGTAGCATGCATGATCACTGAAGGGCACCCGCCGGTACTCTAGGTAATTTTCCTGCACCAATACTTGGGTGAGCAGCTTACTGGGATTTGCTAAGACACTGTCCTCCCTCCTGCCAGACAGCTCCAACACACTCAGCTCCTCCCAGACTTTCTCCTCAGGGGCACCGTCTCCCTCTATTGCTACTGTGGCCAGGATGATTATCAGGAGGTCTGTTGTGGGCATGATTTGATTTTCGCCCAGCAGGCCATTGTAGGAGAGGCCCAGGCAGGTGACAAGGATGTACAAGTGGCTGATGGGGACCACTTCCATCACCTCGATGCCAAAGACCAGCTGCAAGTACTCGGAGGCTTTGCTGAAGATCACAGGAAAGAAGTACTGGCAATTTTTTTTTTTTTTTTTTTTTTTTTGAGACGGAGTCTTGCTCTGTCACCCAGGCTGGAGTGCAGTGGTGCAATCTCAGCTCACTGCAAGCCCCGCCTCCCACGTTCACGCCATTCTCCTGCCTCAGTCTCCTGAGTAGCTGGGACTATAGGCTCCCGCCACCACGCTCGGCTAATGTGTTGTATTTTTAGTAGAGACAGGGTTTCACAGTCTTCATCTCCTGACCTCGTGATCCACCCGCCTCCGCCTCCCAAAGTGCTGGGATTAGAGGCATGAGCCACCGTGCCCGGTCAGTACTGGCAATTTCTCATGACACTCTCCAGTATTTCTGCCATTGTGAACTGCTCTCTGGCTCGATACTTTAGGAGCAGAAAATGTACCAACTCAGCCACCTTCCTACTGAGTGCTGCTTGGAAGCCAGTCTCCAGGTCAGGAAAGGTGCTTGGCCCCTCCTCTTCTTGGTTGCTGGAGCCCTCATCAGATTGGCTCCAGAGAGTACAGTTGATGATAGTGGGGAGGGTGGAGGCTCCCTGAGGACTCTGGGGGAGGACCTGGTGACTCGGCAGCAGACACTTCCCCCAGGGTGACTTCCACTAGAGTAGAGGAGGAGGAGGCAGTCTCCTGCTTCTCAGTAACAGGAACCTGGGCACCCACCAAGCCGAGGGCCTCTCCTCGGGCCTCAAGGCCTTCCTCAGGCTTGCAGTGCTGACTCCTCTGCTCCAGAGGCATGATGACTCTGGTCAGGGCAGCAGGCAGGAGTGTGGGCAGGAGCTGGACAATGGAGACCCACAGGCCTGGGGAGAGATGGAGCGTGTGAGAGGCCTCAGCTGAGAACTGAACTGAACCTTGAAGGCTCTAACAGGCTTACTTACATATCTTCTCCTTTAGTGCTGCCCCAGAGCCTCCAGTCCTCCTTGTCGGCCTGTCACCTGAGAACCTGAAGGAGAAAGTGAGAGGGCACCTCAGGGTACAGCCGGCCAGTGCATGATGAGGCTGCATCACTGAGAGTAGGGAGGGTGAGGCCAGGCGCTCTGGAGCCCCATGTGATCTGGGGCGGGTGGTGCTGTTGGTGTGCATTCTAGGCAAAGCTTCAGTGTTGGCACTGTCTGCACCCGCTCTGCTCTGTGACTTCAGGACACTGCCTCAGACCAAGTCCTCACTGCCTTGTTCCTGGAGCTCCTGATTCCTGGGAGAGGAATCCATGGGCCTTCAGGGTGCAGACTGCAAGTACAGCCACGAATTCCAGAATTGTCAGGATGGTTGGCCAGACTCTGTGAGGTCTCCACTCTACTAGGGTGGAGGGTCCCCTCTGTGCTCACTCAGGGCCCTCACCTTTCTCCTTGTAGGGCCTAATCCCGCCCTTTTGCTGGCCTGAGAAACTCTCATGTCAAGAACTCACATTACTGATGTGGTACAGAAGGACATGAGGGACCAACATCTGGCCATACATGACCAGGTCCTCCCGCAAAGCACAATGAGAGATGTCCAAATTCATTGGAGTCCATGTGTCCTGGGTGATGAGCCTGCTTGGTCTTCACCTCCACTCCTCACAGGGCCTGAGAGCCTCCCTCTACTGACCTGAGTGCAACCTCTTCAGACCAAGGCCTCCCCTTCCCTGACATCAGAGATCCCAGAATAATGGATAGACCTCAGCCGACACCACTGCCCAGGCTCTCTGAGGGAACGGCAGGGGCAGGGCAGATTTCTATGGGGCCCCTGTTTGCGTTCTGGCCCAGGAGTACCCTCAATCCTCCCGCAGGCTTCTCACCTGGATGCTTGGCAGATCTCAGGACCACCGCTTCTGTCGACTACATGGGGGCCCCTGTGTTGACCTGACTCATCCTCTGAAGAAAAGGTCCTCACCTCCCTGAGATCTGGAAACAGAAGTGAGGAGGGGCCACATCCTGTCACCCCCAAGTGGGTTGTCCAGGGCAGACCTCTTTGGTTTTAGGGTGAGGCTTCTCATGGCCTCCTATGGGTTACTCAGCTTTACTCCTGCCGAGGCCTGCCCTTCCTCAACCCCCAAGCCCCTGAAATGAGCAGACAGCTCCTCTTTACACCAACACCTTATGTCCCCGAGTGTTCCCCAACCTCCTGCCTGTGGTACAAATGAGATTGCCAATTAGAGTCATGCATGATAGGGCTCCCCTAGAGTTAAGAATAAGGGACAGCCAGACTCTGTGGCGTCCCTTCTTTCTGGGCCAGGGGTATCCCCAGTCCTCACGAAGGGGGCACACCTTGGGGCCGGCAGGTCCTGGGATTCTTCCCTCTGCTGACCTGAAGTACCACTCCTCAGACCACAGCCCTCAACTCTGTCACCTGAAGGTGCAATGAGCACGGGGTACATTCGGCCACTGTGCCCAGCATCCCCCAGCCCAAGGTTCCCACTGATCTGGACTGCGACCTCCCCTCAGTCCTCCCTCTTCTTCCTCCCCTTGACTCCTGGCAGGGCTGGGCCCCAACCCCCTGCTGAAGTGGGTCTGCATCACTAGGATTCCCGTGGCTGAATGAAAAGGTGCCTCAGTTTGAGACAGGGGTACCGTGGGCCCCCTGTCCTGGCATGCTGGGTCCCCTGAGGACTCCATTGACTTCCAGGAGGGCCTGGGCCTTTCCTCTGCTTCCCAAAGGCCTTGCTCACGATACCGAGCCCCTTCCCTCCCTTAGCCGTAAATGTGAACCTCAGGATCCCTGTGCCTGGCCGCCATTCCCGGAGCTTCTGTGGGTTGATAGCAGAGGCAAAGCCCGGATTCTGCCAGGATGGGGGTGGGGGTGAGGATGGGAATGGGGAATGCGGGATGGGGGTGAGGGTGGTGTTGGGGGATCAGAATGGTAGTGGGGGTGTGGAGCAGTTACCCTCAGTCCCCTCTCGGGGCCCTGACCTTGATTTCTGGCAGAGCCTGGGCCCTGCCCTCTTCTAACCAGCCCTGCCCTGATCACACAACGCTCTGACCACAGAGTTCCCTGCCGCTAAAGCGGCGGGGATTGGCGGAGTGATGTGGTGGCGATCCACCCTTTGACGTCTTCCCATGTGGGGTGGTCCAAGGCTGGCAGCAGAGGCAGTGCTGGACTATTTGGGGCCCTCTGTCTGGGGTGAGACCCGCCTCAGTCCTCCCTCAGCGTCTCACCTTGCCTCCTCACCAAGCCTGGGCCTACTTCCCTCTGCCGATAGCAGGCCGTTGCTCAGGGCGAGAATCTCGCTGTCCTCTGACCCCCAATGTGCAAGTCAGTGGCGTCACATCCGGGCAACGGTACTTCCCTGGGTCCACGGCAGGGGTGGAACCAGATTCGGCTTGCTGGGGGGGGATCTGGATGGGGGTGGGGGTAAGCATGAAGATGGTGTTGGGGGTAGGGGTGGGGTAGGGATTGGGATGGGGATCCTGAGGCTGTAGATCCTGGTGGATTCCGGAGAGTTGGGGGTGGGAGGGGCCTTTGGTCATCCCTCAGGGTCCTGACTTGGATGCCTGGCTGAGCCTAGACCGCCATCCTCTGCTGATTGTATCTGCTCCCCTCAGACCAAGTCTCTGACTCTGAGTCCCCCCAAAGTAGCATTGGGGGAAGGGGTGTGGTCGGGGTGACATCATTGCCAGTGTTTACCAGGGCTGACAAGAGGAGCTGAGCTGGACTCTGTGGTCCCACTATGTGGGTGAGGGTGGATCCTCAGTCCTCACTCAGGAGGGTCCTCTTCCTCACCCCTGGCTGTTGGATGAAGTGATGGGTGGGAGACGCTCTGTTTCTGTCACCTCTGAGCGTTTGTGCATCTGTACCCCTTGTAGAGAATGGCTACGGGTCCCAGGCCAGGTGCTGCCTGCAGGGCGGCAGCCCCCGCGGTTGTAGTGAGCTCTGGGAGAAGACACACACCTTCCCAGGAGGGCTCCTCCCCAGCCAGAGCTACACTTGGCAAACCTTCGGTCCTAAATGGTTTATTCTCTGAATCGAAGAAATAGAGTTTACATATCTTCCAAGTATATATGTAGGTAGCAATATATGTATTTATTTCTATGAAGTAATAGCCACCCTTAGTATGCATGATTCACTCTGATATCCTATTCTACTTCTATTCCAGTCTTTGTGTCCTGTTGAAAGAATTTTTTTTAAACATAATTCCTCTCCCACTATGTTGATTTCAGGTTGTTATTAGCAGAACTCTGGAGCCATACTGCCTTAACCAACCCAATTTTCCTGATGTCCTGCTATTACACTAGGCCTTTTGGCATCGTGTTTTCAGGGGCTGCCTCAGATTGTGCAATGAAGTAAAGTGGAAATTTTAAAACTTTTATTCTACCCATTCTTTCATCTGCCGTCTAAGCAGGCTACAAACCTCCCCAACATCCCTGCCACTAACCCCCTCCAACTGGCACTGCAAGTGTCAAACACAAGTACCAACTCAACAAGGTCTTCAGTCTCACCCTGGGCTGTCCCTGTTTTGTTGCATAGATTTTGTTGCTGATGCTGGTTTTTTCCTTTCTGTTTCCATTCTATAAATTTCTAGAGTTGATTTGGGAAGCAGAGCACAGCAGCCCAAATTTGCTTGTAATGTTGGTGGCTACAGGTAAGGCACTAGATTGTAAATAATTTAAGCTGAGTTTACAGTTTTACACTGCTGTGTTCCCCATGAATGAATATGTTATACTCCTCTATATATTTCGAGCTCTTTTTTCCTGAATATGTCAGTATACTTCGATAGCTGCTTGTATAAACATCTTATACATTTTTATTAGACTTCTATTCAGGTAATTATTGGACTTTCTTGCTATTGCAAATGGCATATTGTCTATTAATTGTCATAGTTAGTTATTGCTTTCGTGAGGTGAAGATTTTGATTTTGCTGTAGTAATCTATTGCACACCTCGTTCTGACGGCCGATGCACTTGAATATTCCACATACCTTTTCCTTTGAATTTTCAAGATCAATAATGGTATTATCACTAAACATTACATGTTTTTCCAATATTCATACCACTTACTCATTTTGATACTTACAGCTCTTTGTGTCTCAATCCTGATTTCAAACGTAGAGATAATAGCCTACATCTACTCATTCCTGACTTGAATGATAATTCTTCGAACATTTCACATTTAAGTATGTTTTTGTTGATTTTATGAAACGGAAGTTCTCTTTGAGTATAGGTTAACTAAATATTTTCTTTTCTTTCATGAACTCATATTAAATTTCTTTTAAAAGCTTTTTCTGTACCCGTTGACACAATCAAATTTTTTCTCCTCCATTTTGTATGTAAGGAATTACAATGAAACAGTTTTTTCTAATGTTAAATCATATTTTATTTCCTTGGTCAGAGCCTGTTTATTTCTTTAATATGCTACTAATTTACATAGGATATTTATTGCTATGTGAGGGAGGTTACTTGATGTGTTCTTTTTCCATCAGGGGAGGGATGTGATCTTCATCTGGTTTTGAATCCAGGAGGGCTAGTCTGGGAGAATGAATTGAACAATTGTCAATCTTTTGTATGTTCTGGAAGAGTTGATGTAAGATGGTGGTTAGTTTTCCCTCATCATTTGGTAGAACTGGAATCCAAAACTGCCTAACCTGGAATGTTTGAGGGTGACTTGAGCTTTGAATATTGTACAGTTTCAGTTTATATAGCTTAATTAAAATTTTATATTTCTCTTTGGATCAGTTTGGTTACTGATTTATTTTATTTCTACAAAGTGGTCGGTTTCATTGAGGATTTCACTTTTAATGGCATATTTATGATAAAAATGTCTCATTAGGGAAAGCCTTCACACATACAGAATAACAGAAACCAATATAATGAACCCAGCATACTTGATACCCAGCATGAACAACTTTAACTACACAGCAAATCTGGTTCCAGTTAGACACTCACCTACCTGCATATCAGCTTCTGGAATAACATGGAGCAAATCTAAGGCATTATACCATTTTATCTCTAAATAACTTAATATGCATTTTAAAATAAAAGGACTTTTTATGAAACAAAAACCCAATAGTATTCATCTCTAAAAAGTTAAATAAATGATTATGAAATGTTCATCTATTTTACATACTTATCTGGATGACTTAAACTTTATAAAAAATATATTTCTTTGATGGAGTACACAAATATCATAACTTTTCCCCCAACTTGCTTCTCTCTGGTTGCTTCATACATCTATAATACAGGTAGGTTTCTGTGTGTGTGTAACATTTTACACTCTGTTACGTGATTCTCCAACCTCTTAAGTTACTTTTAAACTTTACATACATTAAGCTTCACTCTTTGTGCTGCAAAGATATATGGGTTTTGACAAATGCATACAGCCATTGTCTTAGTCCTTTTGGGCTCCCATAACAAAAATAGTGTCGACTGGGTGGCTTATAAACAACACAACATTATTCCTCACATTCTGCAGGTTGGGAAGTCCAAGATCAAGGTGCTGGCAGATTTCATGTCTGGTGGAGGCCTGCTCCCTAATTCATAGACAGCAGCCTTTTCCCTATGTCCTCACGTGCAAGAAAGGGTAAAGGATCTCTGTAGGGTCTATTTTATAAAAACACTAATCCCATTCATGAGGACTCTGCTCTCATGCTCTAGTCATTCTCCAAATATCCCACCTTCCACCTACTACCGTCACCTTGGTATTTCAGCACATGAATTTTGTGGCAACAAAAATATTCAGACCAAAGCAAGCATGCAACCACCTTTACAGTATGATGGATACTAGTTTGACTGCCCTGATAAATCCCCTGTGCTTGTCAGATAAACCCCGTGGCTACCACTGACAGCTTTTTCATCTTTATAATTTTGCGTTTTCCAGAATGTCATATAAATAGAATCTTATACTATGTAGCCTTTTTAGACTGGCTTCTTTCACGTAGCATAATGAACTGAA